AAAAAATATATCATCAAAGAAAGAAAGTTCTTTAAGAATAAGTGTTTTTCAATTCTTTTGCCGAAAATTTTGAATATAAAAATAAATTTGAAGTTTTTACAAAAACCAACTATGAAGTCTTTTATTAGAGAAACACTACCTAACACTATATACCTTCAAGAATATAATCTCGAAATAGCTTCTCATTCATAATCAATGTAGAAAAAAATATATTGCTAACCTCTTTATGATATGATTTGAGCAAAGCCAATATCTATTTTTCTACTGCTTGACGAGTGATATAAGCATTGAAATAAGGTCATTTACATGATTAGATTTGCAAGATTAACATCTTGACTAAACAAAATAACCTCAAACTAGTAATTTTATTAATAAAAAGTTACTTGTTTAGGTAAAAGGCTCTACACAAAACATGAGAATGTTAATTTGCTCATACTAATTTTATTATTAAATAAAAGAAAACTAGCCAACAATATTTGCTACAATGGTCATCAAAGAGCACGATTGGTTGCCAAATTTTTTAATTAGTGTCTTGGAGTTGATTTCACTAACACGTATAACTAGTTATAAAACCCGTTGCTCTACATGTAATTCTCTCCACGGATGTTTCTTTGAGTTGGCAGAGTTGAACAATTGGACATTTTAAATGCGTTCTACATGATCTACTAGAGGAAGTTGTTTAGATGTCTCAGCCTTAGGGTTTTGTTGATCCCTAATGACCAACAAATATTTGCGGGTTTAAGAAGTCCCTATATGGCTTAAAACATGCACCTCGTCAATGGTTCGAGTGCTTTATAGACAAGCTAACTTCTTTAGGCCTTAAAGGATCCCAAACTTATGTCTCTCTTTTTATAAATCTTCAAGACAAGACATTCTTTTTTATCTTATTTATGTTGATGATTTGGTTATTACTGACAGGAATGGAAACTTGATATCCTTGTTTATTTTTGCCTTGCGTTCCAATTTTCTAGTAACACATCTTAGTAGGCCTCTGTATTTTTTAGAGATAGAAGCTGAATGGAGGCCTTAGGGTTTGTTCCTTCATCAAAACAAATACGCTAGTGATATCTTGAAAAAGGCTAGCACGCATCAAGCCAATGGCCTTAGCATCCTTGCTTGTTTACATACGAGTAAGGGGTATCATGTTTTCATATTCTTCTTTGTAGTGTAGCCTTATGGGTGGCTTGCAGTACCTTGAAATCTCTTGCCCAAATATTGCCTATTCTATCTATAAAGTAGCTCAATATATGCACTCCCCTACAAAAGCTCCTTGGACTATTTTGAAACAAATCCTTCGTTACATTCAAGCAACAAAAACTTATGGATTACATTTTTAGCAATCCAATGACTTCTCTCTTATAGCTTATACAAACTCGATTGGGATGGTGATATTGAAGATCACAAAAGCATATTTGGCTATGTGATTTATCTTGGTAAAAATCTAATTTAATAGTGTTCTCACAAACAATGCATTGTTGCCTCGCTCATTCACAAAGCTAAATACTAGGCTCTAGCAACAACTTGCTCTATGGTCGAATGGATTGAACTCTACCGAAGGAGATTGGTATTCCCGTTGCTCGACCACCACAAATTTTGTATGATAATATCTTAGCTACTTACCTCACTAACACACCAATTTTCCATTCCCAGTCAAAGCACTTGGAAAATGATTTCCATTTTATGCATGACAAGGTTTGCCAAGGTTTGCCAAGTCTAGAAGGTCTACTTTTTGCCTATAGCTAATCAAATTGCCAACATCCTCACTAAATCGTTTTTCCGAACCCAATTGTAGATACTTCAATACAAGTTATGCGTTCTTTCAAAACCTCGCTCAATCTGCTAAAGGGTGATAATGATAAAATCCCTACTCCCGTTATTTCCTCAATATTATAGCTAACAATAGTTTACCGCACTTGTACATCTCTTGTAGTTATCCTCTCCGATTGTCTTAGTATATAAGGTATACTCTTGTAAATTGTTAAGACTATGTGAGTTATTAAATCCCTTACATTTAATTCCTTTGTTTGATGCAAAGATTGTTCCTTTTTAGTCTAGCAATGGAGGCTTTTTTTTTTTTTTTTATTGTGGCTAATTTGATATTCCTTTTAGGAACATCTTGCTAGTTTTAAATCAATAATATAAATAGTATTTTTAACTTTAAAAAAATTCTTTTGTTATTGTATAAATTATTGAAAAAATTTTCTTTTCATTATCTTTCCTTTAATTTTTAACTCATCCAAAAGGAAGAAAAGAGAGTAATTTTTCATTCGTCTTATTTTCTTTCCTTTGTTTTTTACTTTCTTTACTCCAACCTTTCTTCGTTTCTCAGAGTTTTCCCAAACACAATGTTACACTTTATTTGAAAGGGTTGAAAGTGGAGGGAATGAAAAAGGAGGGGTGAAAATGGGAGGGGGAATGCTATTTTCCTCTCTTTGGAAGAATGAGAGGAAATGGAGATTTAAAAAAGGTCAAAGGTACCTATTCGGACAAGTAGGAGCTCTTACGAATTAAGGATCTCTAATTGGTAAGGTGGGCTATGATAGGGAATTTTTAATTTTTAATGTAAGTGTATCAAAAATAAATATTTATGATTTTTCTTGCAATATTGGCGTATATAATTTGTATTTGAATTTTTATAGTGGTATATAATTTGTATTTAGTTGGAACTGAGAAACGAATTTAATATAAATAACTAAAATCTAGTTTCAGTATGCTATTTGGGGTAGAATGGTGATTTTAATTTTTTGGCATAACATTATACAATATTATAATCACACCTATTTGATTAGTTTGTTAGAGCATGTGTTTATATTAAGGTCATGGATTGCTGGTTTGTCAAAATCGCTTATGAGAGGGCATTATTTCCATACCTTAACAACAAGGATCGTGGCTTTATCGTGTTGGGATCATAATCATGTTGTATATAATTCCATTATGTCAGCACTAAAAACGTAGCTTCATGCACGTCTCCAGCTTCCAGTGGCAGAATCCATAGCTTCATTAAGTCTGCTTGATCAATTGCAGAGGGACTCTCAAGTGAAGTTATAATTTTAGCATCAACCGCGACAAATGAAGCCAATTTTATTTATTTATTTTCTTGTTGATGGTATTATTGTTGCTAACGTGATGAAGTTTGCATAGTTGGTAAACTAAGTACATTTTGCCAATGATCAATTTTAGCTTTCCATCAACAACAGAAAAGAAAAATTCAATTTAGAATTGACCAAAATAAGAAATTCTATCTTCATATCTCATCATACTTCAAATATGGGATTCTATAATTTTTTTTTAAAAAAAAACAATAATAAATTTGAAGAATCAATCATTAAAGCATAACTGATTTACTATCTTATGACTTCAATTTTTCTTTTGGACATATAATTTTTCTCTTATTTAAAAAATAGATTAAAATTCTAAAATCAATAAATCTTTTTTATATCTTTGACCTACCAGATAAGACTATATGCTATTCCACCAATTGGATTTCTTATAATCAACCCTTTAAAGTGCACATTTAATTTTTATATTCTTGTGAGCAAAAAATAAAATAACATAAAATAATGTAAAATGATGTAAAAATCCTTGCAAACAATTAATAAAAATTATATATATATATATATATATATATTATTGTGAATTTTTATTAAGTTTCAATCAATTACTTATAAAATCTTTATAAAAATTATATATCATCAAAGAATGAAATTTCTTTAAGAATAAGTGTTTTTTAATTTTTTTTATCAAGAATTTTGAATATAACAATAAATTTGAAGTTTTTACAAAAACCAACTATGAAGTCTTTTATTAGAGCAACAGTACCTAACACTATATACCTTCGAGATTATAATCTCCAAATAGCTTCTCATTCACAATCAATGCAGTAAAAAAAATTTGCCAACCTCTGTAAGTTCATATCATTTGATAAAAAATATCTGTTTTTCTACCACATGACGAACGATATATAAGAATTGTAAAAAGGTAACCTACATGATTAGATTTGGGAGACAAATATCTTTAACTACATGAAATAAATAAAGACCGTAATTTTATTAATAAAAAATTAATTGTTTAGCTAAGAGGTTCTACACAAAATGTTAATTTGCTAACAATGGAAACAAACTGAAATATAATAAAATATTTAATATTAGAACTAAATATTTTATCTTAACTTAATAATAACCATTATCCACACCATTGGTTAGGAAATCTTTGAACAACAAATCATTTTTCTAATTTAATCTAAGAAATAAAAAAAAAAAAAGGTTTAATAACTCACTGTAGAGTATATAACTTTTTTGTTATAGAAAAATTACATGTATGCTTTTTTATTTAGTTGTAAATGCTTATAAAAAAGAAAAGAAAAGAAAAGAATTTATACTTTTCTTGTGGCTTTACGGTTCAGACATAAAACATTGTAGATTGACACTGTTCATGTATTGTGCATCTAAATTTAGATGCACTGCACTGCTCATTGGTGGTGCAATATAGCTAAGCTTGGAACATAAAGCTATAAAGTTTCTTTAAAAATTTTAAGCGATTTTTGTACATATATTCAATCAGTCCTTTGATTTCGACATTGTATAGCTTGGTACCTAAATTTTTTTTGGCTTATATTTCATTAATTTCTTGATTTTCTTCAAAGTCTTATTGTCACCAACATGACGAAGTTTGCTTAGTTGGTAAACTAAGGACATGTGACCAATCAATTTTAGCTTTAAATCAGCAGATTTTTTTTTTTTTTTCCAATTTAGCATTGACAAAAACAAGAAATTCTACCTTAATATCTAATCATGCTTCAAAGATGGGATTTTATTCATTTATTTATTTTTAAAAAAGGGTTCATATTATAAGATTGTTTCAACTTTCCACAGCTAGTTGGATCTCCACACTTATAAATAGCCCAGGTTCATTCTACTTCAAAGCATCCTTCCCTAGCCATTCACCTCTTCCTTCTTTCCATATCTCTTGTTGTTTGTTTTCTCTTCTCATTTTACTTGTCAATGGAAAGTGAGCTCAAGGCATTGTGGGTGCTGTCTGTGGTGTTGCTAGTGTCAAACTGGCAACACTGGACTGATGGAACGTCCACGCCTCAAGTTCCTTGCTTTTTTGTCTTTGGGGACTCCTTGTTTGATAATGGAAACAATAACTACCTTAACACACCAGCTAAAGTTAACTATCTACCTTATGGTACAGATTTTCCTACTGGTGCTACGGGAAGGTGTAGCAATGGTCTCAACATAGCCGATACCATTGGTCTGCGGTTTGCTCTCCTCTCTTATAAGACAACATAACAATTTCGTTTTGTTTTACTTAACGAAACATTGATATTCTGTAATTATATTAAATTTTAAAATTGGCTAAGTCTGCTACTAATACTTTTTTTTGCTGAATTTATTATTGAAAAAATGACTTGTTCATACCAACTTTACTACGGGTTATATATGCTATACACTTATAAAGTGTCTATAGCTTGTACCTCAATCACCATCCAATTTTTACTTCTTCTAAGAGATTTGGGTTACAAATCTTTTTATTTACATGAAAGTAAGTATATAATCTTACAATTATTGAACTAACTTATTGTTGCTTGGTTTCAGCTGAACAATTAGGCTTCGATAGTTTCATTACGGACTTTGGTATTGGAGGTTTCACTAATGTCCTAGATGGTGTAAATTATGGATCTAATGGAGCTGGCATTCTAGATTTAACTGGATATCTGACGGTGATTACTGTTCATATGCCTCCCATATATATCTATATTTAAATTATGCTTGATGGAAGAAATCATAACAAATATATTTAGGGTTAATATATAGTTGCAGAGGTCTCTCAAAGCTTTTCTTTTTTTAATTTAAGTTTAGTTTTTTTTTTTTAATCTTAATCTCGTCATTCTATTACATTTTTTTACTGGTGGAATTAATTTTTTAATCTGTTTTAATTTCATTTCTTCTACTCTATTTTTTTCATCCTAATCATTTTTTTATATTAAATTTAAATAAATGAATTTTGGAAAAAAATGATTAAAAAATTAAAATATATATGGTCATTCTGTTTTAAAAAAAAAGTAAACAAAAAAATTTTTTTTTATCCAAAATATCTTTTATGGGTTTACATTTGTCTCAATAATTGTAAGCAAATTTTGAGTACAAAATAAAATATTTATTGTAATTTTTTTAAATGTGAAGAGTATTTTAGTTCAATTTTTAAAATTAAGAAATTTTTAAAATCAAAACATTTAAATTATAGAATCTTCTTCTTGGTAATATAGAATAATAAATAACATTCCAAGGTTTAAAATTTTTAATTAAAACTCTCTTCACTTTAAAAAAAATATTATAAATATTTCATTTTATAATCAAAATTTTCTTAAGTGACATATTTTAAAAAATACTATAAATATTTTATTTTATACTAAAATTTTTCATTTACTATAATAAAGATAAATTTAAGCCCAAAAAATATATCTTAAATAAAAAATATTTTTGTCTTCATGTTTAATTTTTTAGCCAAAATTATCGGATACGAATGTAGATAGATGAACTTAAGATGAGAAAAATAGAGAGACATGATAAAAATAAAAGAAGGAATAGAGGATCTGTCCAACCATTAACCTAATATATATATATATATATATATATATATACATATGTATATATATATATATATATTTATAAGTTTTTTTTCAGAAAATAGATAACTAAAAAGAAAATATGTTTAATATAACTAGTGTCAATTTTTCTTAGGCACGACATTCTATTGATGGCCACCCCTCTCTCTGTAGTCTATTTTCTTCACAATAATACTGATCAACATGATTCTTTCAATTTAACAAAAAAAAAAAACTTAAATAATTCAGTATGAATTTTAGAATCATGTGTACTTTGGCAACACTAACTATATAAATGTTTTGTTTATGTAAAGGGAGAGTTGTTCACCATGAATATTCAGTTACATAATCACAAAATTAGCGCTTCACGCATTGCCAAAATCTTGGGAAGCGATGAAGTTGCTAAGAAGTACCTAAGCCAATGCATATATGTGTCTGATATGGGTCATAACGACTACCTCAACAATTATTTCTTGGATGATTACAACAGTAGCCAGCTATATACTCCTGAACAATATGCGCAACTTCTCATTGAAACTTATGAAACTCAGCTGGAGGTTAGCCCTGCTTAATTAATGTCTCTCAATTATAAAATAATAACTAATGTATGATGTGATGAGAAACTAACAAGGAGCCCCACTTAATTTCATTTTTCTTTCTCCAGGATTTGTATGATACAGGAGCAAGAAAGATAGCCTTGCTTGGACTTATTCGGGTAGGATGTATGCCCTCCAACGTACAAAAGTATCCTAATGAACTAGATGATGACTTATGTGCATACAAGCTCAACGATGATGTTAGAATTTTCAATGATAAGCTTCAAAAACTGGTCAAAAGGCTTAATGACAAGCATCTTGATGCTGCATTTACCTACATAAACTCGTACGAAATTGATTCAGAAGATCTGACAAATAAAGGTACCTAGCTAGTCTCTCTCTCTCCCTTTACTTTCTTCCGCGGGGAGTCAATGATTGGAGACATACATTTTGCTTTTGTTACTCCTTTGTTACCAATATTACATTTGCTTACTTGCAGGTTTCAAATATAATCGTCAGAGCTGTTGCAACGTACCAGTATCTGGATCTGTCCCGTGTAAATCACTCTCATTCCCATGTGGCAATAGAAGTGAGTATGTGTACTGGGACGGAGCCCATTTTACTGAAGCTAAAGCTTGGGAATTTGGGAAAAGAGTATATAAACGCCAGACACATAACGATGCTTATCCATATGATATCAGCGAACTCGTTCAGCTGAAGGTTGATAATTCTAATGCTTATGATAGCACCCATGCTCATATCTAATGGAGAATATGATGGGCAAATAAGAGCATCCGAGAATAAAATAATGTATTTTCATTGTTTGACATAATAAAAGTTGAGTGCAATAAAATATCAGTCACATGATAACCCATATGTTAGGCTATCATGTTTCTAATAAAAAAATTCTCAGCAACGATCTTTAATTTCTGCAACATGTATATTGAATGGAAATCTGCATTTACGCATGATGAAAGATTTTATTTTAACATGAAAAAAATTAATGAATTCATAATTAAGACTGCTACAAGGAAATTCGCTTGATCAAGACCTAAATAATTACTTTGTAATTGGTGTTTAAATTCGTTCTTCTAAAGAGAATATACTTTTTTAAGAAAAATATAATTTTATTAATATTAAAAAAACTATATTTCCCTTATTCCCTTACAATTTTCATAAAATTCAAATAGAGATTAGTAACACTATAATCAATTCTAATAAAGTGAAAAAAAACTTGTTCATTAATATCAGATCATGTAGGAATTAGAAACGGCTACAATAAGAAGGAGCAGCAAAAGCAACTGATTCGGCTACAACAGAATGACAGTAAATAGTGCTGTAACTTATCTAGTATTTCTAGCCATTAACTATTATACATGTAATCTAGTTCTACTTGGTATCATCCACTCAAAACAAACAGATATATCTTATGTAATACACTTTGGTATAAGTATACAAAACTATTGGTACAACACTTTATGTTTTGTAAGTGATTTTTCAAACATTATTCACTATAACAAAACTGAGATTTAATGAAAGATTTCAGTAATAGACTTTAATCCAATGCTAAATAACGAGTAAATAATGATAGAATAGTGCCTATGGAATTTAGAAACGAAATAAAGAGTGTTTAGCAACGATTTATCACCAATGAATGAAAGTTCGTTGGTATTTGTGGTGTCAAAATATTTTCGGGTGTTTTAACGAAGGGTTAGTGATGGAATGACTATGAAAATCAATTATAGGTTATTATTTTCATTGCTATTTTTAATGATTTCCTTTAGCGATGGAAGATCCATTGCTCAAGGATGATATCCCTCGCTAATTCTAAAAAATGTATGGCCTTTTTGAATTAAAATCCTACCTATTTAACGATAGATTAGCAATAAACAATTATGTTTGTTGCTAAATAATGACTAATTAGTGATGGGTTCACATCCATCGCAGATTTAAATCTTTGATTAAATCCTCTTTTTCTTTCTTCTTCTTCCATCTTCTTTTTCCCTTGCTTCTCCTCCTCCAATCGCCAGTCCTTCCGCTACCCAAAACCACAAAATCCACTCCTCCACTAGCTATCAATCCGCTCCCACTCCAAACTCCTTTCTCCCTAAAAACTCTCATTTTTCCTTCCATCCTCTCGGTCTCTTACCTGTCCAAATTAAATAAGTTCTCTCTCTCTCTCTCTCTCTCTCTCTCTCTCCATTTCTTAAAAGTTAGTTATTTTTTTTCATAATTTTTGGGTTAATTTTAAATTTAATTGATAGATTTATTATTACGTTAAGTTTTAATTGTTAATTTATTGATTAATTTGTCAAATTGTTAATTTTGTTAATTAGTAGGATAATTTGTTAATTGCTTGTTAGTTAAATTTAATGAGGTTTCAATTATCGTTAATTTAATTTAGCCTTAAATTTAATTAGGTTTGAATTAGAATTAATTTGTTTAATTTGATTTAGGCTTATTTAAATAATTATGTTGATTTTGATTACTTGGTTGGTTTTTTAATTTTTTTTACATTGAAAACTATTAATTAATTGTTAGTTACATTTAACTAGCTTTGAATTAAGGTTAATTTGATTTAAGTTTAAATTCAATTATGTTTGAATTAGAATTAATTAGGTTAATTTGATTGAGGTTTAATTAATTAATCAGAGTTAATTTTGATTAATTGATTGATTTTTAATTTTATTTATATTGGAAATTGTTAATTATTTATCATTTCAAATTTAATTAGGTTTAAATTAGATTTAATTTAGTTAATCTGATTTAGGTTTAAATTTAATTAGGTTTGAATTATAATTAATTAGGTTAATTTGATTTAGGCTTAATTAATTAGTTGGTTGATTTTTAGTTTTATTTATATTAGAAAATATTAGTTGATTGTTAGTTAAATTTAATTTGGTTTGTCTTAGGGTTAATTTAATTAGGTTTGAATTAGAATTAACTAGGCTAACTATATTTAGGTTTAATTAATTAATTAGGCTAATTTTGATTAGTTGGTTGATTTTTAATTTTATTTATATTCGAAATTCTTAATTACTTCTTAGTTAAATTTAATTATGTTTGAATTAGGGTTAATTTTATTTAGATGTAGATTTAATTGGGCATGAATTATAATTAATTATGTTAATTTGATTTAGAGTTAATT